TATTATTGTCTCAATCTAGACTGTTCCCTAGCTTACGACCTAGAATGACTGCTATTACTTCCATGTGGTCAACCCCATAAGTCTCTTTTCAATTTCACACAGTAGAGAGAAGCAGGTGTGCGCTAGGTCTGCAACGTGGGGGTCTGAACCCCCACTACTTAATTATCACCTTCTGCCCACTTTAACTTTTTGAGGCACCTGAAAAAAGTCCATTGGGGTCTGGGTATTTGAAAGCTATTGCAGAGATGACTTCCTGGCCGAGGCAGGAGAAAATGGAATCATGGGCTCTTCCTCTTTTGATACCTGCACCTGATTTTAAATTTTAAATTTAAATTTTAAAAAGTAAAGAAAACAAAACCCTATCAACTGGGAATAATGAGCTGTAGTCCAACCAAGAAAGAAAAAACAAAGCACAACCTAGTGTCATAAGAGCCAAAGAAAGAGAGTAAAGGAAGTAAAGAATCTGTTGTAAAAAGTGACACGAGATAATTCCTAACCCACATATGCATGGCCATGCTCCACTCTTCTCAGTATACTCGACCTTATCTCGATTTCCCACCCTCATGCCAGACCATTCTAATGGACATCCTATCTGGGCATCTTATCATTTCTTTTCCAAACACTTCAGAATGTCTCTCTAACACAGGAGAACTCAATTATTTTACTTTTGGTCTAACTCCAATGTCACTATCACACCAAAAAACAATGAATTCCTGACTTCTCATGTCCAGTCACAGTCCAAATTTCCCTGATTTTCCCGTAAGTGTCATTTTACAATTAGATTTCTTGAACCAAGATCCAAAGAAAATCCACACCTTACATTTGGTTGATAAATTTCTTATTTTTTCTTTGTCATTTGTTGAAGAAACTGGGTCAAGCATGTCATTTTTGGTAGATATGATCGGATGATGACAGATACAAAATGGATACTTTCATGACTTCGAATAGTTTTCTGAACTCTGTGTATTTAATGACTTTTTGTCCTATTGTTTATTGCCAATCCCTCAATCCCTGATGCTTCTCTTGGTTTGGTGCAGTTTTTGATCTGGTGTTAGAACATCCCAGGTTCTATCCTGCTCTGCCTGCTGCTTCCCTGTCTCGCTCTTACCCCCTGCGACCTCATCTTGTAGGTCTCCGCTCAAGGAGAGCATCCACAGAGAAGCCTTCCCGGGCTTTCTTGACCAGATATACATTCCTCTTAGTGTATATCCTCAATGTACCATGAACTTTCATTCTATATAGTTTATCAGATTATCACTCTACTTTTATTTGTTTGTGTAAATCATTTTTTTAGAGCGGATGGGACAGAGGGAGAGGGAGAGAGACAATCTTAAGCAGGTTCCACTCCCTGCATGGAGCTTGATCTCATAATCCTGAGATCATGACCTGAGCCGAAATCAAGAGTTGGATGCTTAACCAACTGACCCCCCCAGGTGCCCCTTTGTGTAAGTCGTTTAATGCTTGTTTCCCCTACGACTATACTTATTCTGTCATTGTATTCCTGGTACTTAGCACCAAGCCTGACACAAGGTAAATGCTTAAGGAGTATTTGTGGAATGAAGAAACTGCTTATGAGCTTTAAGAAGTATCTATACGGTCTTGTGAATATAAGATAGGAGCTAAGCAATTTACCACCACCTTTGTGAATCCCTCCACATTTAGGTTTTTGCGTTCCTATTACTTGTACAATATTATTGTAGGATTACATTTTGAACCCTAATTACTGCTGCTTTGTCATTTTGGATCTTTTTGAAAATGCCTGAATGCTATCTTCATAGCTGAGTGACAGCATGGCCTGGAAAAATGACTAGGTAACACATGTCAGACAATTGCAAAGAATAGCAGGATTTCATGTTTTGTGCTGTATCATCCCCCCCACAAAAAAATGCAGCGTATTTCTGTCACATGCCAGTACACTTTATAATTCAAAGTATTTCTAATTTCACAGTTCTTTACATGAAAACAAGGATGGACAGTCTCTACAGTGAATTCAATAAACCATTGAGTTAAACATTTTTTATATGTGTTCTATGGTGATCATTTTTTAGTTGATATATAGATAAATCAAGAAAATAGTAAGGAGAGGATTGAAAAATTTGTTTGACCCAGAAATTCCAATCCTATCTTTGTACCCTAGAGAACTGTTTACACTCATGCTCAAAGAACTGTATTGAAGACTGTTTCAACATTGTTTATAAAAGCTTGAAATGTGAAAACAATCTAAATGTGGTTCATTCACATAATGTAGTACTGCAAATCAGCCAGAATATGAGCCAGAGCTAGACAGAGAAAATAATGATCAATTTCAATTTTGTGTTGAACTAAAAAGAGAAAGTTGCAGAAAAATACATGGAGTGTATCATTTATGTCAAGGCTTAAAAGCATGCAAAAGAATACTATACATTTATATGGACACACAGAACTATACTTATGGGGTAAATATGTGCACTTATAACTGCCAAGTTCCAGAAAGCTGGGAGTGGGAGCCTGGGGAGGGGCTGGGGGGAGAGAGTGCTGCTGGGAGAGGCAGGGCAAGGGGGCTTCCACCATATTTGCACCATTTTGTGTCTTAAGCTCACTGATGAACATTCATTCTATTCATCTTTGAAGTTTTTGCATCTTGTAGGATTGAAGTATTTAACAGTACTAAGGAAAACTATGATGTTGAGTAAAATTTAACCTCTGATGACTAAAATCCATCTCATTATTTTTTTACTAACACACACAGCAGTTCAACAGTTCATAGAACCTGCTCTTTACCTATATTTGTTTTCTTGTTTCCTTCCTCCTTTTTTCTAATTCTTTTCATGAGTCTTTCGTACTTCTTCCCAGTCAATGATGTGTCTAAAAAATTAGATCTTATCTTTCTTTGTCTATCCATCTAGCTATTTTTCATCTCTCCACCCATCCATCATCTATCTACCTAGATGTATATTTATATCAAATGTTAAAAAACAAAATTCTACTGAGTAAACTTTAAAGATCTTATTGGCTTTATTCAATGATTCATGAACCAGACAGCATCCCATCCTGCAGACAGAAAGGAGCTCTGAGGCGCTGTACAAAATGGAAGACTTTTATAGACAGAAGGGAGCAGGAAAAAGGAAGTTACATGGGATAAAGATGTGGGTTGGTTAAAGCAAGGTTACTTTCCTTTAGGGGAGAGCAGGGATCCACCAGGTAGATTACCTAGTTAGTGTTGGTCAGGTGATTCCTGACTGACTGGTTTAAGATTCCATTTCTGGGAGAGCAGAAACTGTAATTAGGGCTCCATTTGGTGACACGGGGCTTAACATAAGCAACTCTATTTGGTACCTGTTCTCCTGTTTTTAACATGAGAAACATGATTTACTCTATTGACTTCGAGTTTGACTTAAATCCCTCTAGTTGACAGAACCAGTTCTAAAGTGCTTTACACTTTGGGGTACCTGGGGGGGCTCAGAGTGTTAGGCATCTGCCTTCAGCCCTGGTCATGATCCTAGGATCCTGGGGTCGAGCCCCACATCAGCCTCCCTGCTCAGTGGGGAACCTGCTTCTCCCTCTCCCTCTCCACCCCTCTGTTTGTGCTCTCTCTCTCAAATAAATAAATAAATAAATAAATAAATAAATAAATAAATAAAATCTTTAAAATGCTTTGTACTTTGAATTTGGGAAATGGTCTCCCCAAAAGGAGGGGAGGGGTAGCAGAATTCCAATAAACTTCTGGAAAAGCTCAGCACTAGTTACCTGGGTTTCTCAGCTCTGTGAAGTCTCTGAGTTCTGTTCTGAGATTTGGAGAAGCTGCCAGACATCCGTGTGATCTTTTTTGGGTTGCCGGAGGTAAGTCGCTGGCTATTATCTTTTATGTTATTTGTCACTTTCTGATTTTCTTGAAAGAGCTCAACTTGAGTGCTTTTGTTTCAGCTTTAGTCAGTGCACCCCCCCGACAACTGCTGAGAAACTCTTCATCTACCTTACATCTCTCACCTTGTTTGGAGTGAGATAGAAGTCAGACCTTGGGGGGGAAATGGGAGAAAATTAAATCTTGCACAATGTCTGGCTTTTTTCCAGAGTTCCCTGCAGGGTAGCAGCTAAATGTTTAATCTTGCTGTCTCTTTGAGGCATTTTAAAGCCAATTATCTGGGGGAATGGATTGTTACTCTGCTGCTATTTTGAGAAGAGTGAGCAAAATGTTTAGCTTTTTCTTGTATTCGTACAAATGACGTGAGCCCGGTGATGTGGTGACTTAGCGGCTTAGGGTACTTTGCACAGGCTTAGGAGAGGAAATAAGCAGGTTAGAGTATTACCGTTGCCAGATCCAAAGAAGGAAATATCAAATAGTAGCCTTGAATTCAGAATGTTCCAAAATGCTTTTGCCCAGAGCATATGAATATAGGTATCAGAATTCAATAGTCTTTCATACTGGGGAAAAAAAGGATCTGGGGATGGCCTGAGATTTCCCCAAGATCAATAGTGAGGTCTTGTCCTCTACTTCCAGCAACGCCTTTATCTTTTCATCTTGTGTCCTCCGACTGCCACCGACAGCCAGCATGGAGCCAGTTACTGAGCTGTAGATTAGAGGAAACTCATGCGTTTACCATGGCAGCAGTCTATTGTCTTCAAGAGGGCAGGCAGGGAGTCCAAACTTTCTTTGTGTTTCTCTTAGCACCAAGACAGTATTTGCTCAATAAGTACTGATTACGGGACTAAGACTCTAATTCACGACACTGTATCATGGTGCCACAATCATTAAAAAGGTCTGATTTTCACAAACCAATAGACAGACAAATTACTGGAATGGCATAGAGAGTCCTAAAGTAGCCCCAGATATTAAGGGGCTAAATTAATATATGATAATTTCAAAGCAGTTGGGAAGAGATAGATTATTTAATAAAAGGTTGGGACAACGAAAAAAAGTTACAACTCGACACCAAATCCATTCCAATGACTTAGAAATTTAAATGTAAAAAATGACTGCTAGCATGGGAGATTTTTTAGAATGAACATTAAGAGGTAGAAATGTGCTATGGCAGCACATATACTAACATTGGAAAGATACAGAGAAGATTAGCATGGCCCCTGTGCAAGAATGAGCATTTCTACACAGCAGAAAGCCTAAAAAGGAAAATTAGAAACCACAGCTTGGAGAAAGAATTACTTGTAATGCACAAAAGAAGGACCTCATCGTCCAGTACGAACCAATAATGGAACAGTAAGAAAAAGATCTTAGAAAATGTGCAAAGAACCCAAATGAACAATTTATTGGAAAAAAATATAAGTAGTTCCACCACGTAAAAGGATGCTTGATATCATTGGAAATAAAAGAAATAGAAGTTAAAATCATGAACACAATTTTTCATCTATCAGATATATCAGATGGTCTTGCAAGATCAGTTAATTAGATAATACACATGGGCTGGAAAAAGGCAGTCCCATACATTGCTGGTGGGAGTATAAGCCTCGCTCTCTTTTGAAGGTAAGTAGACAATATCTTTCAAAAGTTTACATATTTTTAAATTTGATAATTCAACTCCTAGGGATTGATTCTACTGATAGGACATAGGTGCATAATGAAACAAAAATTTATTGTGCTATTGTTTGTAGTAACCTAACACTAGACAAAATTTAAATGTTTATTAAGTAGGGGCTGGTTAAATAGATCATAAAATAAGTTGATAATGGAATCATTAATATAACTATTATAAAGCAGGTAGATCTATGTAGACCAACATGAAATAATCCTCCAGATATACTATTTAGTTTTAAAAGATGCGCAGAATAGTGTACTCCTATTTGTGGCATTTCAAATAAGTGAGCCAACGATGGAATACTCTAAAAATGAAATTGAGCAGGTGTACCCATAAGCATTTTAAGAAAACATAAACAATAATATTTTTTGTATTTTTTATAAACTTGGATTGAGGAAGACCTTCCTAAGCAACTACAAAACCCAGTGGTCCTAAAGTGAAATAAACTGATAGATTTCACTACATGAAGATTTAAAAACTTCTGAATATCAAGAGATAGCATAAACAAAGCTTTCAGAAAGGGAATTAATAACAGAAAATATTGTAATATATAAAAGAGACACATGGATACACCTACATGTGTAAAAAGCTCCTACAAATCACTAAGGAAGAAAAAAAGATAAAGGACCAAACAGAACAGGGTTTGCAAAGCCAAGTGCCTAGACAGGTCATTGGAAAAGATCAGTGACCTGTTGCAAGGGGACATGGGGTCCAAGAAACACCTACTCCACTAGAGAAAGGAGCCTTTCTTCTGTTCCAGCCATTTATTGCCGTTGGGGGCCCAGTGTTGTAGAGCCTCCAAATATTCAGGAGAGGCTAGAAATATGGATTTAAAAAATGTTAAATATTCCAATTTCTAAATGTCGGCAACTAATTTGACAAGAACTACAAAATGCTGTGTAGAATGAGCAAAACACACATTTTCAAACTTTGTTATAGAAAAATGAGCAAAGGCTGAAAACAGGCCACTCACAGGAGCACAAATGGTCAAAAGAAATTTAAAAATATGGCTCACTTCCTTTAGTCAGAGAAAGGCAAAATGAAATCATGAGATTTGGTTCTTACCTATCATAGTGACTGAAATTAACAAGAATAGACAATATTGTGTGTGCATACAAGGCTTAATAAAATGGGAAATTGCATACCCAATTGGTAAGAGTTTAAGTGTCAATATCTTTTTCTGGAGGGCATTTTGAGACTATTACAATTAAAATTTTAAGGGCATGCCCTTTGATTTAGTAATTCAATTCCTAAGTATTTAGTAATTCAATTCCTAAGTATTCTACTAAAATATTTTAGCCTGTGCACAAATATGCATTTAGTATTCTTTGTCGTATCGCTTATAATTATGGGACATTGGAAAGTCTCATTCTCCATGGAAGGACGGTTATGTTAAATAAATTATGGTTGAATCCTCACTATATCATATCCTGCCGTCACTGAAAATGATGAGGTACCTCTCTATGGCATTGCAAGAGCTCCAAGCTATATTACATGAAAAGAGCAAGTTACGGAACAGTACATATTATACAGTCTCACTTACGTGAAAATTATTTCTATGTATACATACATTTGTGCATACGAATGGATAGAGAACAGCTTGGAAGGCTCTACTCGGACTATTGGCTGTGTCAACTCTGGGAAAGAAGTGTGATTGATGGTGGTGGTAACTACTGGAACATTTTTACTTTTTTCTTAGCTTTTTTTTCTTTTTTTTGATTTAGATCAGATTGGCAGACTTAATGCATAAATGACCACACAGTAAATAGTTTAGGTTTTGTGGGACATGATTTCAGTCACAACTACTCAACTCTGACGTTGTAGCAGGAAAGTAGCCACAGACGGTATGTAAATGAGTGGGGGTAGTTGTATTCCAATAAAACTTTATTTATCAGATCACAGGGTGGGTTGGATTTGGCTCCAGGGCTGTGGTTTGTCAGTTCTGTTTTAAGTGCTTTTCTGTTTTCTGGAGATGTTTATTTCTTTAGATGTTTGAATCTTTCAATAAAGAAAACGTATTAATACCTTTTGTACTTGTAAAAATTTCTACCCCCACTTGCATTTTTTTCCTGGGGAGAAAGGAAAGGAAAGAGCATAAAGTTTTGTTTATTTTTAAATTTGAACCAGTTTCTAAAAATAGCACCCATGGATTGATTAATTTATCTATCTCCTCTCTGGTTTAAAAGAGCACATTTATTTGCACTAAATTTTTACATATATTTGGGTCTGTTTTTGGACTCCCTATGTTCATGTGCCAAGGCCAAACTTCCAAAATTACAAAAGCTTTTAAATCTACTTTTATGTGTTAAGGCTAGTTCCCACTTCACTTTTCTTCTCTTCCAAAATTCTCTTGACAGTTTCATAGGTTTGTGTTCCAGAATAAAATGTTTATAATGTTTTACCTCAAAAAATCCTGTTTTGGATTTTGATTGGCTGCAATTTAAGGACAGCTGATATCTTTGCATTATTAATTATTTCTACTGAAGAACTAGGTACATATTTCCATTTTTTTTCAAGCTCTCAATGTCCTTCAACTGAATTTTACAATGTTCTGCACAGATTGTACATCCGACATGTTTCTTGTTAAGTTTGTTCACGGGCTATGGCAGACACTATAAATTGTATCATTTAACACCAGCTCCAATTCCCTTCTAGCATGCTTCCTGTAAAGACTCAAAGGCTAAAAACCACATTTTCTAGACTCTGTGGTAGCTGGCGTTCTGCATGTGATGCGAGTTCTATGGAGCTGACACACCAGGGTAAAATTTTGGAAGACAGCACTGAGAACCAAGAGGGGGCCCATTTGGAAGTACAGATCTCATGGCAAAGGTGTTCAGCAGCATTGGGGTCTTCTCTAGAAACTTCCTGTGATGTGACTGGGTATTGCTGCAGGTAGAGTTGCTCCTCATTTTGTGGCATCCAAGTTTGGCTCCCTGAACTGTATCTCCCAAATACCATAAACTTCCTAATTTCTTGTAGTAAACTTGTTTTTGTTTAAAGTAGATAGAGTGGATTCTGTTGTCTGCAATCCTGCCTGATATCCATACATGTTTCATTTTATTATAAAAGTGAACTTGTATTCCCCCATATCTTCTGATCGTTATTATTTTTTTAATTTTATTTATTTTTATTTATTTGACACAGAGAGAGAGAGATAGTGAGAGAGAGAACAAGCAGGGAGAGTGGCAGGCAGGCAGAGAGAAAGGGAGAAGCAGGCTCTCTGCTGAACAAGGAGCCCAACATGGCACTCGACTCAGGACCCCGAGATCATGACCGGAGCCGAAGGCAGCTGCTCAACCGACTGAGCCACCCAAGCACCCCTCTGATTGTTGATTATATATGAGAAAGCTATTAGTTTTTTTCTATATTAAATTTGTAACTAGCTGCCTAACCTAATTCAGATTGTTTCTAATAATTTGTAATGAAATTTCTGGTTTTCCAGTCATATATAATCATATGCTCAAATAATATTACTTTTGCCTCTTTTGTTCCCATATTTATCCTTGACATCTTGCCTTCCAAACTGCATTGACTCACAATAATATTACATGACATTACACTGACTCCAGATCAATGTTAAATAATAATGGATAAATTGGACATCTGCATCTTGTATTAACACTTGTAACGTTTATCAGGAAGAACAACGCTAGATTTTGCTTTGTCATATATTAATCATGTGGAGCGTTCACATATCATAATTTTCACATTCTTAAATCATAAAAAGATGTTGAAATTGCTCAAATGAAAGCATCTCAGGAGATAATCATATCTTCTTTGACATCCGATACGCTGAATTAAATTTAAGACTTCTAAATCGCCCCTGCCAAACAGCACAGTGGAAAGGTTATCAGAGACTCATGACAGTCCCTCCCTGTGGAGTTCTTTACATGAAGTACCATTCTGACTCATTTAATGCTTCTTGCCTTGAATTCCGCTTTGTCTGATACTGCTATCACAAGCCCCGTGTGTTCCCCAGCCAGACTGGCAGAAAATCTACCATCTCACCCTTAACAATCCTCACACGCTTGCCCTGCCTGAGCTGTGAAGTCTGAAGGACCAAATCCTTTCCCAAAGGAGTCAGCCCAACTTCCTCTGGTAGCTGAACAGGGCGCCATAGCGCGTGCTGCTCCGGATCTGGTCCATTGCTGCTGGGAGGTCTCAGGGGCCTGCTCCTGTCCAGGGCCACCAGGGTCCCCAAAAGAGCTTCTCCGTGAGCATTTCTATTCCCTCTCGCCTACGCTTGGCCCAACGTGGCCTTCATTGGCTCCCCAAACACAGCCCTAAGCCCCAGTTCTTTCAATAGAGTTCATCTCTCAGAGTTGCTCTGGAGAAGCTGACCCATTTGTCCCACAGACATGATGCTTTTTCTAGGTCTCTCTCTTCCAAAGGTTTTCCTTTTCAACTCTTCCAAATATGAGAGTTTCCTTTCAGTCCTTTCCTTGGACAATACAGGTTGACTTTGTATTCAAGCCTTCAAAAACACAATGTCATGTTTATATTTTATCTTAGACTTTATAAGCCCCCAAAGCTGGCTACTCTCTTCCATTCTCCCCCATTTCCTCCTCATCGTCAGAGTGGAGGGGGCTAAAGAGA